AGTGAAAAAGGCACAATGAACAAACAATAACAAAAACAAGGTAATAAGATAACAAAAGTAAATGACACATCGTGTACTAACAAAGATCTAGGAATACGAAACTACAAGAATAGTGCTAATACTACTAGTAATAATGACACGCCGTGTAACAATTACTAAATTAAGTTTTAACTTTTAAGTAAAGAAATCGTATTGACAAGATATATGCTTTATTAGCTTTTGTAGACTTGTATCAGCGATACCTATTTTGAGTGCCCGTTCTTCTAAAAATTTAATTAGAAAACAACGCATTTGGAATATAAGTTTGGCTATGACGAAGGAAGGGTATTTATCCATGATGATGACTGTTACAACTGGAAGGGAAGTTAAGATAATCACTTCCTTCTGACCAAGCCTTGATGGACAAAGTTACCCGATACATGTGCTGATGGGAGGTAGCAGGTACCCCGTAGAATTAATTGAGGTGCACGCAAGCTGTTTCGGACACTACAATTACTAAAACAAAGCAATCACTTCCTTCTATCTGTCAACTTGAGGGGTGTTACAATCACCAAATGACCGAATCAATCCAGTGCAAACTGGAAGCATACTTAAGCCTTAAAGCTAGGCCCGACACAAGCTTGGTGCTTCGCCTCAGTTAGGGGGAATGCTTTTGTGGAAGTGCTAAGGAGATCAGGTGTAGATCTTAGCAAAAAACATGATGACCAACTATCTTTAAAAATTAGATCAATTTACAAGGTCATCTTAAAGAAGCTATGGTAAACAACACATATGTTTGACAAAATGATATATTAGTTGTTAAGTAAACTTATGGATGGAATATTGGTGATTAGGTTTATGAAATTAGAAATTTACAAAGAAAACTAGACATTTGATTTGAATAAGAAACTTAGTTGCATGTATGCATATGAATCAAAAATTTAATCTGGTATTCAAACGTGATTGACGTGGTTTTTCTTGATATAATCTACTTAATTGCAGTTTGTCAACTCCTCTGGCCACATAATTCTTGTATTTGCCTGTAAGCATATCTTTATCTTTTTAAAGCGCGTATTTGTTATGTTTGTGCTAGCTTAAAATACATTTGTGCCTTTTGCACTTTTCACCTTGGACAATACTGAATCAGACAACTAAGTCTATCCCAATCTAGTTGGGGTTAGCGATATGTGTTTTGCGTAAAGTTTGCTCTATTTTTAAGAAGCTTGGGATTGAGGTGTAGTTATTGCTCTATTTGTAAATAGTTTGTCTTTTAAGTCCTTTACATCCCTCCCCCAAAAAAGGCCCAAAAAGGTAATTTTTTGTTTTGTGTCAAATAAGGGGTTCTCTAAAATTGAGGTTCTCTATATCTCAAACTTATCCCAGGCCAGACCTAAAACAAAAATTTCTCCGGCTAGTCGGCATCACATATATGGATCCTTTGCTTATGTTGTGTTTTATTCTTAGCTATGTTTCAATTGATCACTAGAAATTATAGATCTTTTGTAACAACTTTACTCTATTTGATTTAATGTCTACCTCTTTACTTTTCAATCACCATAATCGCACCTGTGAATTGGTGCATTTGGAGGTATATGTAGGACATGATGAAACTATCTTATGTGGTTTCCCATATTTTATCCTCTATGTGTGATACTTGTATCCTATATCCAATCTTATATGACGGCACATCCGTTTTAACATCTGCATTCTATGACACTCATCTTGAGGAGGCTACATACTCCTCCATCTTTACTTAAATTTATTTTACCAAAATAGAAAAATCGAAGGTGACGTTATAAAATTTAACATTGTTTTATACAATAACATTGTTTGGTTTTGCTTTTCTTTTCCTTAATAAAACATAGCACTATTTTATACAAAGTTTAGTTTCATTTTTTCTTTTTCACATAACTAATACCCACATAAGTCATGCGAGAATGTATGTATCATTTTATGCTTTGTAGAATATGAGTATGGGGATTAGTGACACAGAGATTAAAACTATCGCAGTTAATGACCAAAGTAACCCTTCATGTAGACTAAGATTTTATTTTGTTAAACAATCATAAACATATTTTAAAATATACACTGTATAATAAGCTTTAGTAGAACCATCCAAATATCCAATAATATATAATTCCTACATTACTAATCCCCGTATTACTAATCCTTGCATTACCTGCATAACTTGCTTCTAAACCAAATGACCCCTAATGGTAATAGCCTTTACCTACTCTTTTGCCCTCTGTTAATTCTCTTTTGCACTCAGCAAATGTTATTTCAGTAGATAGGGGAAAAGGATCTTTCTGTTAGGACTAAGTTATCAACTGGTTATACAGTAATAATTTGAGAATAAATGGAATAATACAGAATGCATTTGTGGCTTTAAATCATTACTTTAATATGTAGTATGCAAATTACATATGAAGTAGTTTCATATCCCTTATTTCTTGTTGGTGCACCCATGAAGTTCCTCTTTGTATAGAAGATTGGATGTTATTCGTAGAGAACCATACTTTTATGTAGGTCTCTACTTTTGGTATACCTTTTGTATGCGGGTTTTATGCCCAAATCTGTCAATAAATTTATCACCTTATCAAATAAAAAAATGTAATATGCAAATTGTGTCAATCTTTCTGAAGTATGTTCTTCCTATGCTTCCTAGAATTCATTACTGTATATTATTGACTAATCAATATTTCCTAGGGTTGCCTGAATAGATTGTTTGTAGTACCAGCTACTAGTTTCATCTTCTGTGATCTTTTAATTGTTCATTTAGTTGAGTTTTTGGAGGGTGAAGCAGTGACTTTCGTAGTAAATCAGAGTATACTGCTCTGAAAGGCAACATATACAGTATGATACTTACTCAAATTGGTTATTTACCTCATTGATATAAAATTCAAACAATTACATGCTACTATCATGGCATCAATTTTTGTTATTGACATAAGACATGAATGTCCCCACTCCCCACGGTGTTGGATAATACTGGGTATGTTGTTGTACATAAGACATGATTGTATAAAAGATAATGGAAGGCCAGTTCAATTTTTTAAGCATTCGGTCAAGCTTTTGAAGCCAGAGTTTGTCATCCTTTTTGTTGGATTAGTTTTTGTCAGATATTATTCATAGAGATAATTTGATTAATTCTGCAGTTTAATGCTATTACCCTGATGCAAGCATTAGTGAAGGGGAGCCTTGGAGCAACAGTGAAGTAGTCTCCGTGTGACCTATAAGTCACGGGTTCGAGCCGTGGAATTAGCCACTGATGCTTGCATTAGGGTAGGTTGCCTACATCACACCCCTTGGGGTGCGGCCCTTCCCCGGACCTTGCGTAAGCGGGATGCTTCGTACACCGGGATGCCCTTTAATGCTAGTAATTGCTGGTTCAGTTCGATGGTTTTTTCTTACTTCCCCTTTCCGCACAGGATCACTTGGCCCTAATGATGGAGCTTCTTGGAATGATGCCACGCAAGGTGAGGCTCGATTTCTGGTGCAAGCAGCGTATAGCTAATATTTCGTTTGTTGTATGTAAATTAACTCAGGTAGGAGAGCTGATCTTAAGTTTGTCTGTAGATTGCCTTAGGTGGGCGCTATTCGCGAGAGTTCTTCAACCGATATGGAGACTTGAGGCATATTAGGCGATTGCGGTTCTGGCCTATAAGCAAAGTGCTTAGGGAAAAGTATGAGTTCAGTGAACAAGATGCTAGTGACATGGCAGACTTCCTTGTTCCCATACTTGATTTTGTGCCTGAGAAAAGACCTACTGCGGCTCAATGTCTCAGTCATCCGTGGATCACTGGAGGCCCTCGGAGTCTTGCTCCTTCTAAAACTGATTCTACATCCGAAGCAACTGAAAATGGTGGCTCGGAGAAGAAGAGGGAGAGGGATGAGAGGGAGGCGATGGAAGTTGGAGTGGGCAATATTGTGATTGATGGAACTGCAAAGCCAGTCAAAGTTTCTCAATCTGTAAAACCAGCAAAAAGCAGAGTTGATTGATTCAGGTTGTGGTTTTCTTGTTCCATCTTGATTTAACCATTTTTTGCCCCTTATGAAAGTTTGTGAGTGGACCATGGAGTACTTTTGGTTCCCTTTATACCTATTTCATTTGCCTTTTCATTCTTTTGAGATGATCACTAATGTATCGTTGTTGAACCATTTTAAGATTTTGATTACCCTGTATTAGTATCAGAGTATTCTTTGTGAAAGTTGAATATTCTGTCCTTTCGTGTACCTTCTATTTACAAAATTACTCTTGGATCTTAATTGCTTGTATCTCATTATAGAAAGTTTTGTCCTCGTGTTTTCTTATTCGCGTGTACATGCGATGATAGTGGGCAGATTCTCTGGTTGATCCAGCTGATGGTCTTGTTTCAGGCAAATCATACGTTTCGTTAAGCTGCCAAGTTAACTAGACTAAATATTTTCTATTATGATTACATTAGTGTGCCGGGGACTTGATTGATAGATTTTCTCCCATTCCCACCCCTGGCAAATTGAACGTGTGCAGTAGCAGCGGTTTGGAGTAAGAGTTTAGTGACGGGAACCAAATATTATGGGGGACATTTTTCAGAGTATTATATTGATGTAGTTCTGTGTCAACGTTTCGGTGAATTTCTAGTCCTTGCTTTTACATGTTTGATTTATTTCCCGTGAAGATTAACCAAGAGTTAAGGGCCTTGTTCTGTGACGACCCTTGTGATTGAATTTACCTATTCCATTCCATCTCGGTCAATTTTGCGTTTCTCATTTCTCAAAAGTTAGTGCCATACAGGATAGTATGTCGTGAGACATTTGTTACATGTGAAATCATGGAGATGTTTGGCTTGGGTCACTTTGCAATGATATAACCAACACAAGAAAACAAGACGAGCAGTACAAACCACTAACAAAGTTTACAAGGCAAACATCTCCATGATTTTACATGTAACAAACCACTAATCCAACAGAAAAGAATTTGAACCCAAAGGGGTTGTTTCAGTGGTCAAGAATCCGTCCATAACTCCGGGAGCGATTTGGCATCAATACATGAATTAGTTATTTTTTATAAGTTCAAAACCTACTCTGCACACTTACAATGAAAGAAGAAATGATAATCAAATCTTGGGCATAAGAACTCTCTCAATTGGCACTTCTGTTCAACTGATTCACCACTCAGCGTATTCAGGGTTTACAAGGGTGCAAGTGCAACAATACCTTTAATGCCAGAATGTGGTAGTAACTTATAACTGGAAACACTATGCTACCTAACAAGCTGGTATAGAGGATGATGGCTATTCCTAATTGACAACCATGGTATTAGCTTGCCGAGGATTTGGCATCACCTTTATTCTCAAATCCTGTGGATCTTGATTCGGGACAGAATGAGTACCTAATTTTGCTGATGTTTCCGAGTGTTTATGAAGCTCCTTATTAATGCGCAATGCTCCTATCTAACAATCTTGCCACACAATATGCTAGTATCCAGCAATTTTTGGGCACTATATTGCAGTTGCAAGCTGAATCTTTGTCAAGTTTCGTGTCACCTGAGAATAGAAAGAGAGCTCATCAAAATCATGATGTGAAATAGATGTATTTCGACTTAGACACCGCCACATATTTCAGTAGTAGGCTAGGAGGGGTCATGTTTTAACTGGGTGTGGTACTGGTGAAAGATGGACAAGTCTTTTGACATGTAAGTTACACCCAATGGCCAGCCTACATTGCTGTTTTTATTGCACCTCCTATCCCCAATAAAACATCCGAGTTCTAGTCAACTAATTCATCACCCTTTCTCCATTTTGCCACTTACAAGTACCTAGTCCAAGAAAATCATTGTTTCATGTTAACTGCAAGGAGGTAAGTCGGTAGAGCACTAATGGTGAGGACAGGGGCGTATGTAGCGTACATGTGATGGGTTTAACTGGACCTATAACTTCTGATGCGGAGCATAAGTTTATGTGTAAAATCTAATAAAATTGAACCCATAGCTTTAAAAATATAATGAGTTCAATGCTAAAAATCTTAAAGACTGAACCCATAGGGTTTAAATCCTGGATTCGCCTCTGGGTGAGGGCTATACCTGATTGCCAAAGCAGCTGTTGCTTACAGTATTTTCTTTGTTCTCAGATACCAGTACATGAGATAGAAGCCCAGAACAGCCCCAACGATTATTCCTCCAGTTGTAAGCCAGAATGCAAACTGCATTTAATTAGACAAACACATAATGAGAGGACAAAAATCGGAAATATTGCCCCAAGAGGAGGAGAGAGGTAATGAGGTCTTGAGATTTAAGAAACATACCACATGTTCCTCTAGATAGGATCTTAAGTTCATGCCAAATATACCTGTACCGAAGCCAATGCAGGTATGTCATAACACAAGCTACATAATATACATCTATGAATCTAATCTTTTAATGCAGATGGAATTTATTTGCAGCAGTAGAATAGACAAAGAACCATCTTTTCTATTTTTCAATCCAGTTGCAAGCACTTGTCTATTCTTTACTTTCAATTCTCCGGAGATTTCTCCTAAATAAGGTTTTAAAATGTGCCTCAGAAAAGTACAAACAACTAATTATGAGCAACATTTTCTTTTTCAAATCATGAGTAGCTTTAACTTGCAGAAAGTAGGAACAGACAACTTAGTAGCACCAAGTAAAAAAACTTGAAAGAGTTCTGTGATTGAAACCGGATGACTCGATAGCAATAACTTAGGAATTTATAAATTTTAAGACAGCAAAGCTAGTTTAGGTCAACAATCTGACTGATCTGACACAAAGTTGAAAACCAAGAAAAGAAAAGGGACAAAAGGTTGAAAACCAACCAACTTCATTCTGATATATGAGCAGCTTATTTATCAACAGTGAGACATTATGGTGCATGATGGACATGGTCTGGTAAAGTTAAACTACATTTGGGGCAAAGAGTATGATCAGAGAGAAAAGCATTCAAAAACATGTACGACTAAATTGTGTAGAAACATATATTACGTATTAAAAGTGAGACGCCGAGGCACAGGTATGATATAAAAATCAATAAAACCTCTGCACCTCTCACCAAGAACAGCAAACTAAGAAGTGCGAGGGTCATATGTATACTAAGGACCTAGTCGATGGATTTGTTCCAAAAAACGAACTTGAAAGAACTCAATATTTGGCCTATATCCCTTGCCATCCAAAACGAACAATACTAAGTAATAATCCCAGTTGAGCACTCACTGGAGGTAATCCATGTAGAAGTAATAAATTTGCGTCTCTTAAGCCATGTGAACTCTACTAGCACTAGGCATATCTAATTGGATAATTATGCATCATAGAAACGTCTTACAGAGGTTCTCAACATTAATGAGAAGGTTGGTTCAATTTTTAACCTTTTCTCCTCTTTCTCCCTTCTGAAAGATTCGTTCTTAATATTCTTTCTAGGTAATTTCTTTGCCATTGACTACAGATTTTGGTTCGATTGACCGGGATTAGGCAGCCAATTCATTTAATTGGATCAACGTCAAGATCGGTGATCACATTTTCAACCAGTGATCGCATTTTCAACTCAGAATCATTTTGGAGATTCTGTGTGAAGATTTTGTGGGTTTCATTCACTTGGGTGCATTTCAATCTTCACCTTTTAGCTGTGAGAATTAAATTCCCCCAAATTTACTGTGATTTCCCAATTTATTGTTCTCTGTGATTTGTTGCTTTGAAAATCCAAGAAAGGGAAAAGTTCATCGCCGTTGATTATCTACGTTTTCGGTTTTGGTCAAGAGATAATAAGAGAAACTCCAATCGTCATCTTCATAATCATCTTCAATCTATTTCTTCTCTGCCACTTTCATCAAGATTCTTGATTTCCGTAAACATATCAGATTTACCATTAATAAACAGAATATCAAGAAACAGAGATTATTTCTGGGTTCTGGCTCTACATCAGAGAATAAAAAAAGACTGCCATTTTCTTCAGCATCTTGAAGAGGACAAGAATCACTGTGCGATTGAATTACACCCCTCCTTGCTGCAATCCAGGTTCTATTGTTCCTCTCTTGTCTTGATATTTTAATAGTTTGATATTTTAGCATAATTCTATCCCCTTGCCTGCCTATTTTGTTCTTGAATCTTTAGTTAGTATTTGCCCTAGCATTGTCAAATTAATTGCATTAGTGATAGTTTTGCCTACTTGTTTATATTGTTATCTACCTGTTTATATCGATATTTTGAATCTTTATTTCATATATCCTTTGGGACCTTTAGTTGTAGATTATAGCCCCTTTAGCTCTTGTATTGTATTTCTCCACCTATTTTTCTATACTTTAGTTGTAGATTATAATTCCTTTAGTTCCCTTGTTTTATTTCTTCACCTGTTTGTCTGACCTTCAGTTGTAGATTATAGTTCCCGTTAGTTCCTTTATTTTTATTTATTCACCTGTTTTGCGACCTTTAGTGGTAGATTATTTTTTGGTAATTCATATTATTTTTGCCGCTTGTTTTCGGGATAATGCTTGCTTAGTGACTCGTAGATTATAGTGGCTTTGGTGAATGATGGTAGGGTAAGGCCTTGTCCTCGGGGGTGTCAGCGCAGGGGAGGGGGTGCGGGGGGTAAGAGGGCTAAGGGAGCTACTAGGCTGAGAGTGGGGTTTTGGAACATAGGAACTTTGACTGGAAAATCTGTAGAGTTAGCGAAGATTCTCGAGAAAAGGAATATTAATATAGCTTGTGTACAGTAGACTAGGTGGGTAGGAGATAAGGCGCGGGATGTGGGCAGTTTCAAACTTTGGTATTCTGGGAGGGTGGGGGGCAGGAACGGGGTAGGTATCTTGGTTGATAAGGACCTCTGTAAAGTAGTGGTAGAAGTTAGGAGGGTGAATGACAGGCTGATGACTATTAAGCTAGTTGTCGCCTTGTCGGAGGTTTTACTTTGAACATAATCAGTGCGTACGCACCCCAAGCAGGCTTGGATGAGGAAGTCAAGAGGCGTTTCTGGAAGGATTTGGATGAGATGGTGCGTGGTATCCCGCATACCGAGAAGCTTTCCATAGGAGGAAATTTCAACGGTCACATTGGAGCGACGTCTGGGGTATGATGATGTTCATGGTAGCTTTGGTTTTGGAGATAGAAACGGAGGAGGAACGTCTTTGCTAAAGCATTTGATTTGGCGATAGCAAACTCGAGTTTCCCGAAGAAGAGGGAGTACTTGGTCACCTTCCGGAGTTCGGTGGTCGAGACTCAGATTGATTATTTACTCTACAGGAAGTCCGATAAAGGTCTTTGCACGGATTGCAAGGTCATTCCGAGTGAGAACCTCTCGACCCTTCATAGGCTCGTGGTCATGGACCTTGAGATCACGAGGAAGAGGAGGAAGAGGGCGATGTATAGCCAACATAGGATCAAGTAGGGAGCCTTGACGGAAGCTAAAGCGCAGGAGTTGGGGGCCAAGCTGGTGACTATGGGGGCTTGGAGGAGTAGTGGGGACGCAAGCGCTATGTGGACCACGACTGCGCAGTGCATTAGGGAAGCCGCAATAGAGGTATTAGGGGTCTCAAAGGGTTACTCTGGTGGTCACAGGGGAGACTGATGGTGGAATAAAGAGGTGCAAGGAAAAGTGAAAATCAAGAAAGCAGCATATCTGAAGCTCGTGGAATGCTAGTGGAAAGTGTAAACGAGGAAGAGAAGAGGGCGAATAGGGAGCATTATAAGCTGGCTAAGAAAGAGGCAAAGTTAGCAGTTACGGCGGCCAAGATTGCAGCTTTTAGTCGTTTGTATGAGGAACTCGAGGGCCGAGGTGGGGATAAAAGGTTGTTCAGGTTAGCCAAGGCGCGAGAAAGGAAGGCGCGGGACTTGGACCAAGTGAAGTGCATCAAGGACGAAGAAGGTAGAGTTTTGTTCGATGAGGGGCTTAAACAATCGGAGATGGCAGATCTACTTCCATGGTCTCTCGAATGAGGAGGGGGACAAGAGGATTGTCCTGGGTGATTTGGAACTCTCCGAGAGTCGTTGTGACTTTGGGTATTGTAAGCGGATTAGAGTTGATGAAGTTGAAGGGGTTATGCGTAAGATGAGCAGGGGCAAAGCGACCGGGCCGGATGAAATTCCGGTGGAGTTTTGGAAGAGTGCGGGCAAGGCAGGCTTGGAGTGGCTCACTAGGTTATTTAATGTCATTTTTAGAACGAAGAAGATGCCCGAAGAGTGGAGGTGGAGCACGATGGTTCCTGTATACAAGAACAAGGGTGATATCCAAAATTGCAATAACTATCGGGGTATCAAGCTGCTTAGCTATACTATGAAAGTGTGGGAGAGAGTGGTAGAGCTAAGGATGGGGAGGAGTGTGTCTATTTCCGAGAACTAGTTTGGATTTATGTCGGGGCGTTCGACTACAGAAGCCATCCACCTTGTTAGGAGATTGATAGAGCAATATAGGGAGAGAAAGAAGGACTTGCATATGGTGTTCATCGACTTAGAAAAGGCGTACGATAAAGTTCCGAGGGAGGTTTTGTGGAGATGCTTGGAGGCTAGAGATGTACCTGTTGCCTACGTTAGGTTAATTAAGGACATGTATGATGGAGTAAAGACCCGAGTGAGGACGGTGGGTGGGGCCTCTAACCATTTTCCGGTTATGATGGGGTTGCATCAGAGGTCGACACTCAGCCCTTTTTTGTTTGCTCTGGTGATGGATGTACTGTTGCGCCACATCCAAGGGGAGATACCGTGGTGCATGCTATTTGCAGATGATATTGTATTGATTGACGAGATGCGAGACGGTGTGAATGCGCAATTAGAGGTATGGAAGCAGACCCTGGAATCTAAAGGTTTCAAGTTGAGCAGGACCAAGACAGAATACTTGGAGTGTAAGTTTAGTGGCGAGACTCAAGGAGGGGAAGGGGAGGTGAGGCTGGACTCGCAGGTCATCCCTAGGAGAGTGAGTTTTAGGTACCTTGGGTCTATTATTCAGGGGATGGGGAGATTGATGAAGATGTCACACATCGTATTGGGGCGGGATGGATGAAATGGAGACAAGCTTTCGGTGTTTTGTGTGACAAGAAAGTGCCACTGAAACTCAAGGGTAAGTTCTACAGAGTGGTGGTCAGACTAACAATGTTGTATGGGGCTGAGTGTTGTCCAGTCGAGATCGCTCATATCCAGAAGATGAAGGTAGCAGAGATGAGGATGTTGAGATGGATGTGCAGGCACACCGGGGATCAGAAATGAGGTTATTCGCGACAAGGTGGGTGTGACCCCTATTGAGGACAAGATGCGGGAAGCACGACTTAGGTGGTTTGGTCATGTGAGGAGGAGGAGCACAGACGCCCCGGTGAGGCGGTGTGAGAGGTTGACATTGGAGGTCCAACGGAGAGGTAGAGGTAGGCCAAAGAAGAGGTGGGGAGAGGTGATTAGGCAAGACATGGCGCAGCTTCAGCTGACCGAGGACATGACCCTTGATAGGAAGGTATGGAGGTCGAGGATTAGGGTAATAGAGTAGGTAGTCTAGAGTGTTTATACCAGTAGTATTGGCACACACTCTCGCTTTCTGTTGGTAGTAGGTTTTTATGACTAACTGTTGTTTTCTTTCATTGTTGATCACCTTACTATCTGGTTGTTTTTATTCTGCTTTTATATGGCTTCTTGGTACTGTCCCTTCTTGTCTCTATTTTCATTAATGTGGTGCTTATACTTTCCTGAGCTGAGGGTCTATTGGAAACAACCTCTCTATCCTCACAAGGTAGGGATAAGGTCTGCGTACACACTACCCTTCCAGACCCCACGGTGTGGGATATTACTGGGTATGTTGTTGTTGTTGTAGAAACGTCTTACAGACAAAACTAGAGGGGCAACTCAACTGGTTTTCCTGAGAAGGTGTCAAAGAAGAAACCACTGTAGAAAAAACATGGTTTAAGCATAAATTGTTACACTTGCTTTTGGTTAGTAGATTAGATACCTGCTACCATAGCACCGACGGCAACACAAAATGTCCCAACCTGTAGAATCAATTCAAATCTGCTTACCTCAAGCCTTCGAGAACTGAAAAGAGAAGGAAAACTCTTGAAGTTTAACCAAGATGCTCACTGATAGTAATATTTTTCACAACTATGTGTCAGTACACCATAAAGAAGGCAAATTACAGAATGAAATCAAACGCACTTTCACCAATTTATAAATCAACTACAGTCTAGTAGTATTACCTTGATTTCTTGTATGCATTTATTTAAAGGAATCCTAGCATTTTTAGCTAAAGAACCCTGCTTTCCATGGTAAGAGTATGTCTTAACTATTGTTTAGTCAAGGTACGACTAATCACCAGAAAAAAGAAGAAAAAACTTTGAAAAGGTTACGAAAGGTACAACAGGAATTAAATAGTTACATGCTTCATCTAGTTCTCTTTATTCTTTAAAATTTCTTTTCATTCTTTTGTAGGATAAGCATTTTCTGACAGACATCCTTCTTATTATGACACACATTACAGGTTCAGTGATTGAAAGTTCTGCAATGAATTCTTACTCGTGGACTCGTGAAGTTGTATATAGAAGTTTAATGCTCTTTTCACTTGGTTGATCGCTAGTTCGCACAATTGAACAAATGGCTTACTGATAAGAATACCAACAGAATCTATTAATCAGCAGTCCATCAATACTTTGGCATATGCTAAGTTTATCTGCTGAAACGAGACCAGCTTATAAAATATCGTCCTATATGTTGCTACAGTAGGAGAAAAGTTTCAAACACTTTAGGCCAGGAAAATTACATAGAAGAGTTTTTTCAGATGAAGGAAAGCATCTTTGGTACTAATTTACCCTACATACAAATTGTTGTTCACACTTCTCAGCTATCTATCACCGAGTTCACCATCCCAAAGATAAAAGCTCGAACAAGGAAAGTAACAAGACATGTACAAACCTCAAGTTTACGGCAATTGAGTCTTCCATTTCTTTTGCAGAATCAAGGAGCCTTTCTGCTTGACCGTGACAAGATTCACATCTGCAGTTGGATGAACCAATGATATCAAATATATATAAAAAAAAAAAACCTTTTGGCAAATTACTAGAGTAATGTATGGTAAAAGACAAACAAGAAATGATGGGTGGAAACCTAGTATGATCATAAAATTTGCTTTGTATTGGACCGAGCTGGGTGGACAAATATCCTCTAACTGCCATATAAACCGCCTTAAAAGTAAAATGCAAAAAGTAGGAATCGTGAATGCTATATATACAAAAAAGAAGTTGAATGCTTTAGGATTACCTTGCACGTTTCAAGGATTTCTTGCTCGAAAAGATTTCTCTCAAGATTTTGTTATTTGATTATATTAAATCCTACTCAGTTATTCACAGAGCTAACTACTTTGCATCTAATAAGACTTGGTTCATCATTCTTTTCTTTTTCTTTTTCTTTTTTTACATTTGCAGATATTTTTTGTTACTCTCTTCAATCCCAATTTATATGCTGGTATTTGACTCGACGGAGATTTTAAGATCGTAAATTTTGACTTATAGGAAACTATAATATTTTCACGAGTTTGTGTGATATGTAACATTATGGATGGTTTCCTCGTATCATATTTTATTATATTGTTATTTTAAATACAATGTTTGTTTTGACTGGTACTTAAATTTATTGTATTGTATTGCTAAATCTATCATTACGTAACAATAAAAAGACCCATTTTACGTAACAACCAATTTGGTGTGGTGGAATTGATAAGTATCTCATTTCCATTTTGCCCATATTATCTAAATTTCTCATTTTACCCCATATTTCTTTCTTAAGACCAGCCATTACCCTATTTTGTCTTCATCATATTTTAAGCCCCTCCTTTCCGTAAGTATTCCTTGCCACTATTAATGTTCTCCATCTCACCACCTTCTTGTTATCCTTTTATTTTTTCCTTTTTGAGTTTTGAATTGTCTGATGTCATATTTTAACAACCCTTTTTCATCAATACTACTCTTTCTCGCCACTTTATATGAGTACTCCTTCCAGCAACTTTACTATCCCTTTTTCGATCATCTTCTTTTTTATTCTGAATTGTTGATAAATTAAATATTTACGTAATTAAGGATATTTTAGTAAGCTTATCATTTATTATATAGTACAATACAGTCAAACCAAACCATATTCTGGATTCTTTTGAGTTTGTTATTGAGCCCTTATTCTGCAGAACTTCATCTGAGTCTAACCAGAGCCTAAATAGTGCATGTTGCTTGATTATGTTATTGCACTAAATATAAAGTACGGATGGAACAATTACTGAGCTACACTATCTGCACGAATGGAGTTAAAGAAGCAGCAATAGACAACCTCTGAAGATAGTTTTCCAACAGCATTTCAATTTCTTCCTCTTCTTCTGCAAAAGAGAAAGACAAGCCAGCAAGTGTTAGTCTGTTAGATGCATATTGAGCAGGCATCTGTTGTATGCCATATGCAAGTCACAGTGAGTATGGAAATGTAAACACACCCTCAGCAACCTCCTTTTCTAGGGGCACAGAGCATTCCATCTCATCATTTTCTTTCTTAAGTACACAATTTCTCCCCATGATACAGATGCGACGTATTTCATGAGTATCCTCTAGAATATCAAGCAGCATTTGCTTAAGAGCCCCGGCCCTGGAACCCAATTCCACCTGTCACAAAAAAGAGAAGTAAAGTGTTAGTATCAAATATCAAGAATTAACTGTATAAGACATGCCTGAATGGTAACTACCAATTTCTGTTTACTGATACGGAGTTCCTCCAATATGTCTGCAGTTAATCGATTAGGCAAAACCTCAAGTAATGCTTGGACCTGCACCAGGTGAGAAAGTATTTCTAAATTGAAAATAACTATCACAAGAATGTGGAAAGAGAAAACCTTAATTCCAAGGCCTAAGGGGATATACTCTAACAGCTAGGCAAGCATGTACTTTAAAAGATACTCCACAAATTAGGGCAGTTTCACTTAAAAGTGATCTGCACAAAATTATAAACAATTCATCCAAAAAGCTCTAGTTAGAACATATTTGTCATAACAACAGCAATGGAAAGCAAATCTAAAGGAAAGTGACAGATTCCTTGCATTTTCAGTCAACCTCCCTCACCAAGACAACATGCTTACAAAGAGCATTCATGGTTTCAAAATATGCCCAATGGAGCATTCTGTTTTCAAGATATAGACAAAGAGTGGAAGAAGGAAGGTGGAAAAGGAAAAAAGTTAAACAAAACTCACTATGTTCCATACTCACACGAGGTTCTAAATCCCACAGTCTATGCTCCAATCTCTGTATCCGTGAATGCAATGCTGCTTCAACCACCTGAAAATTTCAGAAGAAAGTCTTTTTACAGACTTCAACCTTTTATTACGCTTGATATCCACTTCCATTCGAAATTTCATTACGTCTTGTGATCCTTATTTCTAATTCAGTAACATAACATGAATAGATGTCCACTTCAGATAACTATACTGCCACACTAACTGTGCTACAGCAAATGTGCTTAGGGTTCTGTTTTATCTATTGGCACTAACTTCAAAATGGAAAGTCCCCAAGAAATGCAAATAAATTTTAGTCCAACATACTTTGTAATTCAAGTACTGATACATGGAACACATCAAGCTCCTGCTTTAGTAAGTGAAGAACATAAAAATTAAAATAAAAACTTTCCACCCATTTAATAGATCGAGGACGACTTAGATAGCTTTGCAGAATTGATTTTATTTATCAAGTAAATATAAGCTTTGCAGAACTGATGCACTCAAGGGTGTGTTCAAATCTTAGTGGAGACAAAAAATAGTAGGTTATTTCTTCCCATATGTCTAAGTCTTGGTGTGACAGGGTTACCCAATACCTGTACTGGTGGGAGGTAGCAGGTATCCGGTGGATTTTACTCTAGGTGCGTGCAAGCTGGCCCAAAAACCACCATCATAAAATAAAAATAAAATTGTCTACAATTCCTTAGGGATCATTGTGGTAGCATTTCAACTGAAGTAGTGGCCTTCAAGTGAATTTTTGCATCCTATGTCATGTAACATTGACAATGAATGGCAAGAAATATGATTTGGATCACAAGAATATATAATATCCATCATATCAAGGAAGAAACTACAGATCAAGGTGCGGACAGAGTAATCAACTCTTTTCAATACGTAAAGCAGCTGGTTGGACTGACTAACCTCTAGCACAAAAGGCATCGATGGTCCTCCATTTGTGTTTTTAGGATTTAGCCGTGGTAACAATGCATCAATGAAAGCCTTTCCTCCTTTACTATAAGCATAGCAATAAAATTGTTAACTTCACTTGCATTCTATGCTAGGTCAGACCTTAAACTTTTAGAGTATCTGGTATGAAGTATTACCGGTTATAATTAAATATAAGGACTTGTTCTTGCATTATTATGGCCCGTAAAGAACCTAGATTCAATAGAATTGCATGCTCACGGACCTGGAAGAAGATTTCAAAATGATGTCCATCAAAAACAGCCAGTGGAGAAAGTTATATGCTTAAGTTGAGCAAGAAGTTAATTGATAATTCTTGAGCACAAATTATGTGGAGAACTTATAAACTTGAAGGAAGAAAAGGTCGAACTGCACAAGATCAGTGAAGGAAAAAACAACTTGGCTAATCTTAAACAGCATCACTGTAAAATCTGAGTAAGAAGCAGGTATTCCCACCTCAGAAAGTAATTGTTTATGCAATAAAAACTTCTGACTGTCTTTTTGGATTTGTAAAGAAATTATTGAAAGACAGAAATACAAGGATAAGGAGAAGATGCTCTGTAGTAGAAACATACAAAGATGAATTGGCCCCCCAAAAAGATATCTTGTCAGTGCCTTCCAAAGATAAGCCTAAACTATGTGGGCTTGCCCATCATTTTGTCCTAAAAGCGAGTTCATTAAGTGGCATTCTCCTGATATGGTGCATATCAATTTTCACCAAGAGAAATTACAAACAAAACCTGGGATTAGTTAATGAGCTATATGAATTAGGAAATACGAAGAGTTATTAACGGAAAAAAACCCTTCATAAGTTGCATGTAGCAAAGGTTTTATATTGATCGTCGATTGTTAACTTACTTTTACTTTTAACTACATTTGAAAGGTTATTAAACTGAGAACAAGCAAATAAAACATCCACGAAATGCTTTCAGATAAAATACATAGTTAAAAGCAATTGGAGTACCAGCAAAGCAGGCATTGAATTTGTCAACCACAATGATGGATCAACACTCCTGATATCTCGAGGGCGTAGACCTGTTTTCATATATATTCAGGAAACCAGTGAATGCACATAAGAAAGAGGTTTTAATATCAAGGATTTCAGGTCAAACTAATAGAGATGTAATATCTATTAGAAGAATGAAGAATAAAAGGGTCCAAAGTGTGACAAATGATTAAACAGAGAAGCATGATCAATGTTTAACAGAGAAGTTGAGAGTTAGTTTTGAGAGCTAATGATAGAATAAGATACTAACAAGAGATTTATCTGAATCAGAGAACACAACACACACCAGCTAATCCATATCATTCAACATTAGAACACAATTTCACACAATCAACAAAGACGGAGTTTCTCTCAAATGCGCGGAACTTTTTGCGGAGTGCATAGTCAGTTGATCATATTATCTCAACTTTATAGGAAAAGGAGGGAAGGTATGAGATATAGAGAGAGGGAAGAAGAAGAAGGGACTCACCACTTGACTTCAGCAAGTGCCTTCTGTTTATATTCCTTTTCGCTACCGTCCCAGATGACTTTACCTCCACTACCTTAAGAAGGAATTTAAGTGTTAGCAATGACTTAGCACAAGAAAATATGAATTCGCAATCCATCAGCAAATACCAATGCTTTTTTAAGCAGCCAAAAACTCAAAACCTCTTCCTTTTAGGAATTCAACATGCCTGATTTCCCTTATTGTTATCTTAATAATCGCGAACTCCTCCAAGGGAACTAGTGACAAATGCACACGTTTATGCCTAACCATTTCTCGTAGTTCAGATCAAACATAAATTTGGCCAAAACTTTACTGAAAATGGTGCATCAAATAGATTTGACAACAGGTACATATATATGTGCAGTGTAAATTTTGCGGTAGCTCCAATCCACCAACTCAATTTTTGCATACTTTACAAAATATAAAATTTTTGAACTTTGCGCACTATAATATTAAAGTCACAAAATCATATGTAGTCACGTTAACATTATAAGGCTGAAATTTACCTACTATAATAATAAAATCATAAAGTTTTACCCACTATCACAAAACATTACCGCTAATCCGTTATAACAGTAAAAATAGTTGTCTTTATAGTAAGTAAAGTTTTGTGAATTTGCTGTGACAGAAAATTAAATCTGTGACTTTACTGTTATAGTAAGTACAATTTTGTGATTTTATTATTAAAGTGAGTAAAATTCAATTATTTTAATGTGACCAAAAAAAAGTTTTTTGATTTTGCTATTAAAGTAGATTAAGTTACAGGTTAAGCAAAATCTTTGAGTAGAAAGTAACTTAGGAACAAAATAGTGTAAAATTAACCGCATTATCAGAAAGTTAAGGACCTCATAAACAGGTTCACGGATTCCAAGGGACAAGGAATCGCCACTAGAGGTAGAAACAGTCTTTTGCGAACTAGCTGAGCCATTGGAGTACTCCCGACGAATCGCCACGTCATCATCATCTTCATCGTCCTTGACCAACGCCTCCAGCTCAGTCTCCTCTTCAGTCGATTTTGCAACACACTTAACTTTCACTTTCCGAGCCTTAACCTGCAGAGGCGCGTGATTATTACGCAAGTACGGCAACTCCAATCGCGACCCGAAAACCGCGTATCCAGCTATCAAAACTCGAAGCTCCGGCGACCGAACCGGTAACTGAAGTACATGCGGAGCAGTTGCCGCCATTAATGCACAAGCTAGCGGAGATCACGTGAAGATTAGATCTAGAGAATCTTCTGGTGATTTCTCAAGTCATACGGATAATGCGGGATGACAATGGCGTATATATAGGTGTAGGTGAGAAACTGTGTGTGTGTGTGTGTGTGTGAGAGAGAGAGAGAGAGAGAGAGAGAGAGAGAGAAAAGACGATGAAGCTGGTGGTTGTGGTTTGAAGAACATGTGAATGGGAGGGAAAGAGAAGAAAACATATTTTATGGTGAAGATTGCTTCCACCTCACTGGATAATACCCAACGACCTTAACGTTGACTCTTTTTACCGTTTTTAATTCCAAAACCGTTAAAAATCCGTTATACTTAGCTTACTCACTAGCGTAACAACTTTCTAGTCGCTCCACCAATGTAAGGGTGCTTAAATAGACACAAGTTTAAGGGAAAAAAACTATATTTGAAACTTATGGTATAAAATAAGTTGCAAAAAACTTTATGACTATAAATCTTTTCATTAAAGATAAAAAGATAACTGATAAGTTTAAAGATAAAAGTATTTTTAAATATAAAAAGATATTACTTTTTTTTTGACGGACTAAAAGAAAAGGTATTTTTTAAGGTACAAACAGGAATTATATTGCTAACATAAGAGATTACACGGTCATGACATGGTCCCTGAGGATATTACTATTGCCAAAAGCGGCAATGCTATTACAAACAGAGGTAGAAAGATACTTAATACTACTACTAACTCCTTGCTTGTTCCTGTTCAATTCTAGTTCAACAAAAGAGGGAGGACGAGCGAGGTAACTACATTTAGCTGGTGTGAAGTGGTTAACAACTTCCTTAGCTAGGCAGTGTACGCCACTCCATTTCCCTCTCGGAAGTTATGCCTGAGAATTGGGAGCTTCAGCTGGTGCATTAATAACCTGCAATCAAGAAGAATGTTAGAAAAATGTTGGTTGTTTTCATTCACGAGTTTGATGATTTATGTGGAGTCTGTTTCAACTTCCATTTTGAGGAAATTCATTTCTCTTGCAATTTGTATTCCTTCCCGTAAAGCCATTAATTCAGTTTGCATGGCGGATGTTGTAACGACCTGGCCGGTCATTTTGAGAGTTGTAACCCCGTACAAATTCTATTTTTAGCACGTGAGTTGTCCGTGCATCACGTGAGTTATAGGTGCAATGTGTGGAACTTATATTTTCTTGATCATTTATCTGATTTACTTATTTTCTTTCCCCTACATGCCACAATACTATTGAGTAGGATATTTTAGAACCAGTGCACATGCACACACGAATATTCGTATCACGAATCCTTATGATCTAACTTTAAATCGTATATTAGGCTAATGAAAAGGGACAAAATTGTACTGCTTTTATTAGTGACCTCAATAAATTAAACTTCTCTTACCTTGCCTTATTTATTTATGATACTTATTGAGTTGGTTGTACTCACACTACACCCTGCATCTCGTGTGCAAATTAAGGCATTTTCGGGCACGACGGTTGTTGATCGTGGAGTCTACCTGCTCGGAGATCATCGAGGTAGCTGCTTGGCGTCCGCAGACCATGATCCTCCTTTCCTTATCTTTTGGTTTTATTTATTTAGTCTTACTTTCCAGACAATGTACTAGACTATATTGTTATATATAGATGCTCATGTACTCGGTGATACCAGGTTTTAGGAATTTTTCGTATTTCATATTTAGTTTTGATCTTATCCAGTTTATTAGAGCTTAAATTATTAAACCTGTTTTAGCTCATATTTAATTTAAAGTTGCTGGAAATAATTGAGTTGTCGGCTTACCTAGTTCCATGTTAGACGCCATCACGATATGTTAGGTTTTGGGTTGTGACAGATGTTGCATAGCATAATTTGTGAAACCCAAGGATCCAGTCTCCATTGCTATTTCTGAACACTCCTCCTATGCTTGTTTCCAACGAGAAAGAAAAGGTATTGAGACAGAGTAAGCATTTATTTTTTCCTTTCAGAATCAGCATATATAGTTGGTTTTAAAAAAAAAAAGTGAAACGGGTTAAATCGGCAACTTATCCGTTAGACTTTCAGTTTAACATCACCGCAACCATTAGGAAAAAGTTATTTTTGTCTTTGGATGATTTCTAGCTTGGCACTCAAAATTATAACTCTCTACCTATACTAAATCACGATATTTTATTTTTAGAATTTTGTCTAATTTACCCATATACTATAATGCAGTAATCTCAAGATGACGAAAGACATATATGGTCTTGAGTAATTTACTCGATTTGTTGATTGTAGGATTTATTTAGAACTCATATGGTCAACATTTTTAATTTAATCTCTAATATTTCTGTGCTAAATGCATTCATTGATAGTTACCTAATATAGAAGTTCAGAAAATATTAGTACTGTTGGATTTTCTAGGTCAAGTGAATTGCCTGGATCATTTGCTTATTTTGTTAGAGTTACATAGTGAACACAATTAGTATTGGGCTTGTGCAGATTATTTGTGTGTATTTTTGTATTTGGGTCTGATTAGTCTGTACAGTTTTATTAGTGGTCTGTTAGTTTAGTTCCATTTTTCACTTTGGCCCATTGTATAAATATGAGACTTGAAGCTCATTTTACATCTTTTGCCATTTGAGTAATAGAAGAAATGTATTTCTCTAGAATGTTCTCAAAAGCTCTCAAACCCTAGATTATTTTTCTTTGATATACACTTCAATTTGAGTTTTTACATGGTATCAGAGCGGGGTTTTGGGAGACCTCATCATCATCTTTCGAGCAGTGGTACTCTCGGCCTATTTCGCCGGAGTTTCGTCGGTTTCTCTGTTCGCCGGTCGTTAGATTCTTTTTTTGTTTTTTTGGTGGGATTCAGAGTTCTCATTTAATTTTCTCCACTCAATCGTCGTTTTGGTGGTGTTTTTGTTTACGGTTGGAGTTTCTTTGCTTACCTTCAGAACTAGGGTTTCTTCCGGTAACGTGAAGGGTATTTCTCATCATTTGTTGCTGTGAGTTTTTGATAATTGAAGGTTGCGCTTCTTCCGGTTATGAAGAAGTGTGGTAAACCTATTTCACTCTCTATATTCTTCCATGATTGTGGATTGAGTCATTATGAAAAACTTGCTCTTCTATTGTTAGTATTTACATGTGTAGATTTGATTCATGTAGATGTTGATATTCGGATAGTTGTCTTGGTATTCTGGGTTAGCAGTTTTCCTGTTTCACTTAACTCTAAAAATAGGAAGCTCTAGTGATAGTGATTATAAATTTACTTCTCATTCTTCTAGTCCTCTATTCATTCACTCCTTTGACATTCCTGGAATGTCACTAGTTAGTATTCTTTTTTGATGGGTATGGTTTTGGTGGATGGAGAAAGAGCATAATTATATCATTGTTTGCCAGAAATAAAGTTTCATCGATTGTACATGTCCTAACCAACTGAAAGATCTCCCGAGTTCAAACAATAGGATAAGTCTAACAATATGGTTATTTCTTGGCTAACAAGTTCTCTTTCTCCTGAAATTGCTGAGAGTGTACAATACTCTGATACTACTGAAAGTATATGGAAGCAGTTAAATCATAGATATGGGACGGTAAATGGGACACACAAATTTTAAATAAAGAAAGAATTATCTTCCACATTCCAGGGACCTCTTGACATAGCCTCGTACTTTAACAAATTGAAAAAAACTTTGGGATGAAATGGAGATCATGGGCTCAAATCATTCTAAGAGTTGTACTTATGCTGCAAAACCTGGTTCACTAAAGGAAGATGAAGAGAATAAAATCCACCATTTTTTAATGGGTCTCAATGAAATATACGTCAATGTAAGAAGTAATATACTGATGATGAATCCACTTCCTTCACTTGATAGTGTATACAATATTCTTTTGCAAGATGAAAAGCAAAGACAAGTGATTCCTAGTACTCAATTTTCTCCTGATCTGGCCTCCTTTAATGTCAATGCAACCAATGAATTTCCTCCACACAGATAATTCAATCAGAAGGTTAATTTTGATACAAATAACTAGGGTTCTCTTTTTTGTAAATATTGTAAGAAGAGTGGACATACTATTGATAAATTCTACAAATTGAATGGATTTCCCCAACTTTTCAAGTTTACTAAGGGCAAAAAATTTGATACTGTTATAAATGATGAGTCTTCATCTTCTAGGAATCCCGAATTTGGTCCACTATGTGCTTTCACTGGTCTGGATTCTTTGTTGTCCTCTTACTAAGGAAATAATATTTCTAGCTCATGAATCTACTACAGCAGTCCAACTGTCTTGCTTCCACTCCTCAGCCCAACCTTATGGGTTCTGCCAACTTTGTTGGTAGTAATCTCCCCACTCTGAGTTTAATCATGTTGCTTATTCTGCTTGCATGTTGACTAGCATGGCAAAATGTGTTTGGATTAGACTCAGGAGCGACTAACCTCTGACCTTTGATAAAGAACTTCTTATTGATATCACACCTTTTTCTATCCCTTATTTTGTTACTTTGCCTAATAGATATAAACTAAAGGTTACCTATACATGATCACTCACTTTATCTTCTACTTCTACTCTATATAAAGTACTTTACATTCCTACTTTCAATTACAACCTCATTTACGTATACATATTAATTCAACAATTTAACAGTGTAGTCATTTTCACTTCTTCTTCCTATTTGATACAGGACCTTTGAGGAAGAAGCTTTTGGTACCTGGTAGATTGGACCAAGGACTGTATAAGCTTTATCATTTCCCTTCTTCATGTTCTTCTACTTCTGCCTTAAACAATGTGATGCAAAATTCTACTTCTGCTTTGAACAATGTCGTGTAAAGTTTGGATAATTTTCCTAGTTCAGCCTTGAATAATGTTGCAAGTAGTGTGAATGTTTTTCATGTTCCTCTTTTTACCGACATTGTACAACAAGTGAATGACACTATATTTTCTTCTTCTGCTTCTTTGAATAAACTTGATGTACTTTGACATCACAAAATGGGTCACATGCCTTTTGTGAAGATGAAGTGTATATCTTCTATATCTCCTGATTTGTCTCCCAAACAGTCGTTTACTCGTCCTATTTGTCTTTTAGCTAGACACGCTATATTGCCCTTCACAGATAACACATCTCTTTCTACTTCTTTATTTCAGCTTATCCATGTTGATACATCTGGACCTTATCATACCTAAACTTATTCTGGTGCTAGATACTTCTTAACAATTGTAGATGACTATAGTACAGCTA